GAGCAGAGGAGTGACGTGATGTGTGACTTAGGGTTTTAGTTTTTTTTTCACTTTGCCTGGCTGTAAAAATAAAGCACTAATGGGCTAAAAAAGGACTTTTGTGTGTGTGTGCTCGCGCTAAAGGGACAGTCACATATTTACTGTAATGATATCCCCTTGGGTGTAAACAAGAGTGCATTTTGTCATTAAAGTGAACCAAGAGTTATCATGAGGCTATGGTCCTTGAGCGAGTTGGACGCCCTGGAAGTTTCTACACATGAGTGTCAGAAGAAAGTGATGACGCAGGAGGTTTCTGTCATCATCAGTGACAAAGTCATGACCGTTGACTAAAGCAGGGTGAATTACATGGTGTGCGTTGCTATATGTGCGAAAACATATCTTTTGTTTCCTGAATATAATTTCAGCCTAGGTTGCTTTAGAAGGAACTTGGAAAAATCCTGCAGAAGAATTGAGTCTTGTTTATTTCTCCAAAAATGACTTCAGTTCCTTTCTTTGCTCTCTCTCATTTCATCCTTCCCGTCTCTGCCCTTCAGTGATGATCAGAGGTCAGGGAATTGCCCTAACAGTGTGTATGTTTCTGAGTGGTGGTCATTAATTTTCCTTGGCTTGGCTGAGGAAACATTCCTGTCACCTCTTTTGAACATCGAGCACCACCTTGGTGTGAATGAGTTTCGACAACGGGACCTTGTTCTGCAGCCAGGGTTGAAGAAGTTGGCGAAATTCCACTTCCTATTAATTTTCTTGTACAATTTGGACACCTAGGAAAACATCTGAAGAAAGTTTTCATTTTGTGAGCTCATAATAAATGCCATAACGTGGTGTGCCAGGCTGTTGGCTTCGGGTGTGACTTTTGTACAGAAGGTGTGCAAAGAATGATTACTATAAAGATTAATTAGGAACATGTAATGATTCTGTCTTTTAAACTTTTGAAACATGGAAATGGATTTACACAGATAATAATTCTGAAGTTTGCACATCTCATTTTTATATTTGCCAAACAACCCCACCAGTTTCTTTTCTTGGCAGCGCAAATGTTTGGAGATATATTGTATGTTCTTCAGCACATGTGACTTCATGTTTTTCTTCACATACTGTAGTTGTGCAAGTCCGTGGTTGGAGCCTCACTGGGTAGACTCCCAGCCATCATTTCAGCTTTAATTGGTTGTAAAATATTAGCAGGAAGGCAAAGTTATTTTACACCGAAGTGACTTTTTTGGGAAGTAGCAAATTAAATTTTATGGTAGCAGCTGTTCTGAGCAGAATTTGTCGGGAAGTTGATGAGAAGCGAAAGCTTCCAACAGTTCGATATAAATCCTTAGTTTAAAAAAGATGCAAGCCGCACATAAACGAGGCTATGGAAGTAGAGACAAATATTTTTGGTCCATATTTTATTTATTTGTTTTGTAAATAATTTAAAAGTGAGGCCTTCGTTATTTCATAGTTCAGTCTTGGTCTTTCAAAAATAATCGTTGCTCTGATTTTGCAATGGGAGCCTTTATTTAGTTTAGAAGTCAATAATAATATGCTAAAAAAGGAACATAACTTAGTAGAGAACCTCCCTAAGGGGAGAGCTCTGAGTGGAAAAAACACAAACTGTTTTTCCTCTGTTTTTACCCGACAGCAATCAACGCAGAAGAGTTCTGTGACCAGATGTGTGAGGGATTTTCCCACACATACAGAGAAGGGATCAGTTCTGCGGTGGACACCAGCTGGGTGTCCTCCAGTTCACTTCTGACCTTATCTACCTGGAGATAGCACCAGATTCCACAGGTTGAGGGTTCAGTCCCACAAGACCGCCGCCATCACCCACTTCCGATGCCAGTCGCAAGCTCCAGTTCACTTTATTTGCGCTTGTGACTAACAGGCTATTAATCAGGGTTCCCATGACTCTCTCCTTGGGTTCTGTGAATTTGCTAGGGTGTCTCACAGAACTCAGGGAGACCCTTACTTATATTTACTGGTTTATTAGAAAGACTTACAGGTCAGATGCGATGGGGCTTATGCCTCTAATCCCAGCACTTTGGGAAGCCAAGACAGGTGGACCACTTGAGGTCTGGAGTTTGAGACAAGCCTGGTCAACATGGTGAAACCCCGTATCTACTAAAAATATAAAAACTATCTGGGTGTGGTGGCGTGTGCCTGTAGTCCCAGCTACTCAGGAGGCTGAGGTGAGAGAATCGCTTGAACCCAGGAGGCGGAGGTTGCAGTGAGCTGAGATCGCACCACCGTACTCCAGCCTGGGTGACAGAGAGAGACTCTGTCTCAAAAGGAAACAGAAAAAGAAAGACTATTACCAAGGATACCGATGAGGAGGTGCAGAGGGTGAGGAAGGGGTGCAGAGCTTCCATGCCCTCCCCTGCTGCACCCCCTCCAGGAACAGCTGTCCAGAAGTTCTCACTACCATGTTCTCTTGGGCCTTTTTGGGATACTTCACTGGATAGGTGTGATTGAAGCGTGGACACCCATGTGGAGAAATGTGATTAGCCACAGAGGGGGTGATCTAATGCTAACAGACGAGTGGGGAAAGCCAGCCAGACCCATCCTTTCAGGTTCTTCTTGGCCTCTCTGTGCAGGCTTCCTTCCTCCTGGGGATGGGGCAGTTCCCCTTCTGAAACGGGGGTCTTGTGACCCACAATCAGATAATGGACGTCAGAGAATTTCTTTATGGAAAGGTAGGGGAAGGTGAGAGCATATTCTTAGTTTCTATGGCCTGTCCTGGGGAGAGAAAGGAGCAGGCAAAAGGAGGGCAGGGGCTGGGCACGGTGGCTCACGTCTGTAATCCCAGCACTTTGGGAGGCCAAGGTGGGTGGATCACTTGAGGGCAGGAGATCAAGACCATCCTGGCCAACATGGTGAAACCCCATCTCTACTACAAATACAAAAATTAGCTGGGCGTGGTGGTGCGCACCTGTAGTCCCAGCTACTCAGGAGGCTGAGGCAGGCCAATCGCTTGAACCCGGGAGGTGGAAGTTGCAGTGAGCCGAGATCACTCCACTGCACTCCAGCCTGGCGACAGAGCGAGACCGTGTCTAAAAAACAAAAACAAAAACAAAACCACAACGACAAAAAAGGAGGGCAGGATAAAGCTCTGCCTGAGAGATTCTGTTTTCTGAGGCCTAAAGAGCCCCAACATTCTAACACAGGACTATCTTTCACCTTCATCACTCTGATGCTGTTCCAAAGCTGCTTTGGGAACCACGGACCAAAGTCCACATAATTTAACACAAGAAATACTTACTGTTTCAGTCACTTAGGAAATAACAAGGGTCCTGGGAGTGATGAGCCATGAACTGTGGATGGAAACTAATGTACATGTTTCATAATATCACAGGGGTATACTGGATGAATCATTTGAGAAGAAGCTGGGACATTTGCATGTGTTATTCCCTTTCTGGAACTTTCTCCCACCACACACCTTTGTCTTGTTGATGCCTTTTTGTCCTTTAGGCCTCAACTGTCAACGGGGATGCCTTTTCTGGTCTGGCTAGTTCTCTCTACTGTAAACTCTTCTAACCTTGTGTAGTTCTTCTTAGCACTCATTTTATATTTATTTGAGTAATTCTTTATCCTGTGAACTCCAAGAGATAAAGAAGAGTTCCGTTATTTTTTCTGGACATTATTGTATCATCACTGCCTAAAAACAACGCCTAGCATGGTGATAAATATCTGTGATTGATAAATATTTGTTTCATGAAGGAACCTGTGAGTGAATTGAATTTGGTTGGCGACAGGAAGGCCAGTACAAAGATTCCTGCCTGCAGCCTCAAGTCCAAATGCTGAAGGGGCTGGGTAGCTAAGGTAAATGGGTGAAGCAGACTGTGAGGAGCTTGAGTTGCTCTGGGCAACCAGATAGAATGTTCTGGACAGGTGCCTGCTTGGTGGATGTTCTCTTGTTCCTTCCGTGGAGGCGGATTCTTCTTACTCAGGGATGTAGGCTTGAACTGTGGTAAATATCAAGGACTCCCCGGGAAGACAGGACTTATGGAGTAGAGAAGACTGAGGAAACTTACACTACTCTTCATTGAAGTCTTTCTAGAATCCACAGCAATGGTGACTGAAAGAGGAAATCACGAGGTAAAGTTAGCCTGCAGTGGGTTGAGGACTGAGTGGGAAGTGAGAAGGGAAAGCCAGTGAAGGGAGGCTCCTCCCTTGAGAATTTTGTCCAAAGAAAAAAAAAGAAAAAAGGCAAGAAAAGAGACCAGAGGAGAAACAGGGTCAGAGAAGAATTCCAGAAAGATACAAGGGAGGGGAGGGACTTTCTCTGCCAATGAGGACCCCTTCTTCTGAGAAACTGGGTGAAGGTCCCTAGTTTCTGAGGTGAAAACGGCAAACGGACAATGAGACCTTGTCGGGAGGCAGGAGGAGGTCCCAGGCTCAGTGAGGGGAGTGCGTGTGGGGTTGGGGTTTTGCTTTGGGGAAGCTGTGTGTGGATGTAGTCCTAAATGCATCTCCATTTCTACTTTTTATCACAGATTTTATTAACAGGTGCTGAAGAAATATTACTAGAAAGATGGAGGCAAAGCTTCCCTTGCTTTTTGCTTCTGACTTGAAGAGTCACTAGAAGTCTCAGGCACTTTGGAAATCTTGAGTGGGAAGAGGCATTATGGCAGGGAGGACCTTGTGGACCCATGGAAATCAAGAAAGCATTGATTTTCTGTGCAGAATCCTGCATTGCCTAAAACCCTGAGGCCTATCTCCCAGAGCTTCGGTAGCTGTTCAGTCAGACAACTGTGTCTGAATTGATTCTGAAAATAATAGACCAGCCATAAAGCAGCATAAAATGTTATGAAACTATTCCAGAAGTTCAGTAATATCTTTGGGACCTGCTCATAGCCCAAGTTTGTGAATACTTTTGTAGTTAAAAAAATATTTTTACTTTACCAGGGCATTGCAATTCTTTTCCATCAGTGAATTTCACTCTACAGTCTTTTCAGAGCATCTCATAATCAGTCAACAAATCTATTTCAAATGTGTTTGTTACTAAGCAACGGTTGCTAAGAGCTTCTGTAATTAAGATGAAAGTTCCAAGGTAACAATGCCCAAACACAGCACCATTTTCACCATTTTCTGATAATGCAGGAGGAGTAGGATGGCTACAAGTGAAAGAAGAATCTACTCTATGGAAAGCATGGCACCTGAAATTTCTGAAGATATTGGCTGTCTGTCTTCTAGCTTATATGAAAGAGAGTGTGTTTTACTAATCAGCCAGTCATTTTTTTCTTGTGTGGCTGAAATGTACATTCCAGACATGAACAGGTAGAGTATATATTGGAGGCAGGTTTATACTGCGTGGCTGTGCTAAGACAGGGTCACGTGGTGATGTAAATGATGCTGCCTGACACGTGCAGCTATAAGAGGGGTGAACGGAGTACCCTCTGCATGAAATAAACTTCCTTTGCAGTTATCACTGACCTAGATTAAGCAGCGATGCAGGCCTGTTCTGTACTTTGTGTAACAATGCAGTTTCTTTTTCTTTTGGAGATTTGTAAAGGAAGACTCAGATGAATTTTTCCCTATTCATGGTGCCTGGCTCATAGCGGGCGCTTAACAAATGCTCCTCTTTGCCTTCCCACTCCATTTTGTTCCAGGGGCGAGGAGGGGGTTAGGGTTTCCATGGCGACCTGTTGTTGAATGACCTCCTTTCAGACCTGTTGTTAGATGCCCAATGGGCCCGAGCTGCGGTCCAGAGAGCCGAGCCTCACCTAATGGAGGGCTTTGCTGGTAAAAGAAGATTCAGTCAGTCCAAATCAGCAAGCAATTACTGAGTCACTCTCCAGCTGCCGGAACCCTTGGCATTTCCCTACAGGGATTATCTGCAGGTTAGCCTTGTTGCAGGCAGAATGGACGTCAGCCACCAAAGAGTACTGACTGGTAGATCTGGTTCTGGTTTGGTTCCATACGTTTGGGATGTTTGGCAGGCCATACCTTCTTGGACTTTAATTTCCTCATCCTTACAGAGTGCACAATAACAGCCACTTGGCTTATATGGTAGGGTTGGCATAAGAACGAGAGGAGACAGATTATGTAAAGTGCTATGTAAAGGTGTATACATATCCACTTATTCAACAGATATTTACCAAGTGGTTCCTAAGTGTCAGGCACTATTCTAGTTTCATAATATAGTTCATGTCAGAACAAATCAATAGATCTGTTTAATTCTTTTTAATGGCATTTTAATATCCTATAATGTAGGTGTTTCATCATTTATTTAACCATTCCCCAATTTATGGACATTTAAACAAATAGTGCTGCATTGAACATGTTTATACATATAACTTTGGCATATGTGAGAATATTTCTCTAGGGGAGTACTGAAAGAGATTTTGCGAAGCCAGAAGTCTTATATATTTCATGTTTTGTTGGCTACTATCAAACACACCAAAGGGCAATAGCAACCTACCGTCCCAGACAACATGTAAGAGAATCCCCATCTTTCCCTATCTTGCGAATCTAATTTTCCAATTTTACCAGTTTGCTGGATGAAAAGTAATATCTAATGGTTGTGTTATTTTTGGTTTCTTGTTCTATCCACAAGCATCTTTTATTTTATTTTATTTTTTGCCATTTTTACTTCTTCTGTGGATAGCCTTTTTATCTACCCCTTTTGTGTGCTTGGAGATACTTTTTTTTTAAATTTGAAGGGGCTTTTTATATACTTGAACATGTTTAATACTTTTTCATTTCATTTTATGTACTTTTTCATTGAGAGGAAAGAGCCCATGTTAACCACTATTTTACAGAGGAGATGAGAGACATATGAAGTGAATAGCTAGTTACAGTCACTTGGCCATATATGATGGGGCCTGGGTTGGAACCTGGCTCTTCCTATTCCAATCTGCCTTTTTTTCTTTTCTTTTTTCTTTTGAGACAGAGTCTCACTCTGTCTCCCAGGCTGGAGTGCAGTGGCATGATCTCGGCTCATTGCAACCTCCAACTCCCCGGGTTCAAGTGACTCTCCTGTCTCAGCCTCCCAAGTAGCTGTGATTACAGGCACATGCCACCACACCTGGCTTATTTTTGTATTTTTAGTCCAGATGAGGTTTTGTCAGGTTGGCGTGGCTGGTCTCGAACTCCTGACTTCGGGTGATCCACCCGCCTCAGCCTCCCAAAGTGCTGGGATTACAGGCGTGAGCCACAGTGCCCGACCCCAGTCTAGTTTTATTTCAGCAAGAGAGGGTTATTTGGGAGGCTCAACTGGCCAGGGAGGGTGGGTTACCTTGCAGGGCAATTTGGATGATTGAATGCAGTACCAGGGAAGCCACTGGGTTAAGGAAGCGGAATGGTGCCCAGCACAGGTTTCTTCTAGTACCAGCAGCCATCCAGCCCCATCTGCAGGTGTTACCTAATCCTGGGAAAAAGTGAAGGTGACTGAGGGCCTGAGGGCCTGAGGGCCATGACTGTGTTTTTGTTCCTGAGGAGGTGGCTACAAAGACAAAGGAGGAGGAGAGTGATAGCCCCTTGGCGGTGCCACCTTTCTGCCCTCCAAGGGCACAAACAGTGCTGTAGTTGCCTCACATTACAGAGACCAGAGAACATGATTATTCTCAATAATCACGAGAGACTTGAAACAAAAATCCTCTCCTTGTTGGAGTTTTCAGTGGTATCTTATTTGAATAATCATCACTTCTTTTTTCTGATTGAATAATTATCATTCTCCTTTCCTGTGTAAAACAGTAAATTTGATATAAAGTTTTTCTGGAATGGTCTTATTTTAAGAATTTTTTTTTTTCTTATCCTGATCTGGCTTGTGATGTTTTTTGATGGGGCTAAGTCCTAGAATAGAAAGTCTAGATGTATTTATTTGTCTGTAAACGCTGCAAGCAATCTTCAGAGCTCTCTGGGTCAAGTCACTTATTGAACACGTACGGAATCTAAGATCTGGGGAAGTGGGGTGGTTTGCCAAGGCACTCAGTTATTCTAGATCGAAGACTAGAATGTGGGGACCTCTTCAACTGTTTTAGGACTTCTGATTGGGCCATTTTATATCTTTCTGACATTTGTCTATGTTCTCCTTCCTCTTACCTTAGGATTTCTTACCTGGAAAATGAGACTGTTTGTACTTACTGCATTGAATTGTTGTGCTAAGTAGTTGATAAAGCTTTTTTCACGTTTGAATTTTTTTTTTTTTTGAAATGGAGTTTTGCTCTTTTCACCCAGCTGGAGTGCAATGGTGCTATCTCAGCTCACCGCAACCTCCACCTCGGGTTCAAGCAATTCTCCTGTCTCAGCCTCCCAAGTAGCTAGGATTACAGGCACCCACCATCACGCCCAGCTAATTTTTGTGTTTTTAGGAGAGACAGGGTTTCGCCATGTTGGCCAGGCTGATCTCGAATCCCTGACTTCAAGTAATCTGCCCGCCTCAGCCTCCTAAAGAGCTGGGATTACAGGTGTGAGCCACTGTGCCTGGCCTCACATTTGAATTTTAACCTCCCTTTGAACATGTTTATGAAAACCCCTCTTTTTCCACATTCACATTATGCATATAACATGTGCTTCGTTGACCCTTGTTGAATTAATAAAAGAATAATTGTTATGTATTTCTATACTTACACACACACACACACACACACACACACGTCTCAAATTCACCACTGTATAACCACCCCAAGGTTATACAGTCCAGCCATCCCCAACCTTTTTGGCACCAGGGACAGGTTTTGTGGTTTCCACAGATGTTGGGGCTCTGGGGCAGGAGGATGGTTTCAGGATGAGAGCAGGAGGATGGTTTGAGGATGAGAGCAGGAGGATGGTCTCACCTCAGATCATCAGGCGTTGGTTAGATTCTCATAAGGAGCACAACTGGGATCCCTTGCATGTGCAGTTCATAGCAGGGGCCATGCTTCTGTGAGACTCTAATGCCACCGCTGATCTGGCAGAAGGCAGTAGCAGTAATGCTCGCCATACTGTCTGCCACCCTGGGGGTTGGAGGCCCCTGATATAGTCTATCTCCTGTTTTCAGGCATGGAGTATTTGAAATATTAAAAGTAAATCATTTCCCCATTATTTTAAATACAGAAGAGGATCCCACAATTTCCCTTAGATGCTCATTTTGATTTTTCAGAACTGATGCTGTTGGAAAACTTGTCTGCTTTAGTCTGTTTCACAGGTGCCTGTTGACTCCTGTGCTCGCTCATTTTGTCCGAGTATTCTCTTATACACCCCGAATGGGTAGTTGGGCCATGGACTGAGTGGTAAGGCGATCTGGAACTTCTGGAGTGGTGTCCCATGGTGCTGTCAGAGTAAACCAAGCTGGAGTCTGCGTGGCTGCAGTACATAAGTGACTCAGGCTGTGCTAGTAGACAGGCCTGGTGCAACCCAGGGTAAAGTCATAAATATTTCTAGGCTATTTGGTTGGTCTGTATTGTCATGGTCTCTGAGAAAGGCTGGCATGTTTTAAGTCAGATGTCTGTGTATTAGGAATACCATCAAGAGTGAATGCTTAGGAATGGTGGGTTATATTACCAAGGAGAGTGCTAAGAGAATTATTGTTCCTACAAGTCTCACCACTGAATGAGGTCTTTTGTCCTTTTACAGAGAGTGATTCAAAACCCTTTAATCCTGGCCAGGCTGGAGTTGATGTTTGGATACCGGGGGCAGGGCCTGTCTTCTACCTAGAAGTATATGGTATTATGTCAAGAGGAAGATTTTCTAGAACAGGAGTTCTGCTGAAGGTGTGGGAGGTGGAGAGGCAGATTAATCCTGGATCTCAGGCACCCTACGGGTAGAACCTTGGGACATGTATTTGCTGTGAACATCTCACATGCTTTGTATCAGAGCTTCATCCAAAGAGATATCATCAATTTTGGGTTCAAGGTAGAGGAAAGATTAACATACTTCAGATAACACACTCTGAGATTTTCTGACTTTTATTCATTTTATTCAATCTTGTTCTAGTCTCTTAGATTTACTTTTTCAGCTTTTAACCATCTTTTTTTGTGTTTCTCTGTCATGGGTGATTTTTGATGTTCAAGGGTGGCGTTAAGAAAACAACAACATGGCCGGGCGCGGTGGCTCAAGCCTGTAATCCCAGCACTTTGGGAGGCCGAGACGGGCGAATCACGAGGTCAGGAGATCAAGACCATCCTGGCTAACACGGTGAAACCCCGTCTCTACTAAAAAATACAAAAAACTAGCCGGGCGAGGTGGCAGGCGCCTGTAGTCCCAGCTACTCGGGAGGCTGAGGCAGGAGAATGGCGTAAACTCGGGCGGCGGAGCTTGCAGTGAGCTGAGATCCGGCCACTGCACTCCTGCTTGGG